GCCGGACTCGGCCCAGGAACGTACGGATGGCTTCGTGAGATCGATGAACTGAATCCCTTGTGATGATGGATCAAAGGAAAAAACATACTGATCTCAATACATGCTGAGATGATCAGTGATATTTCCTGCGCATTCCTAATTTAAAATCTTTTTTTTTTTTTAAAGATTTTATTTGTTTATTCATGAGAGACAGACAGAGAGAGAGAGAGAGAGAGAGAGGCAGAGGGAGAAGCAGGCTCCCAAGCAGCAGGAAGCTCGATGCGGGACTCGATCCCAGGACCCTGAGATCATGACCTGAGCCGAAGGCAGACGCTTAACCATCTGAGCCACCCAGGCGCCCCCTAATTTAAAATCTTAATTAGAACACAATTAATGGCCACTTCTTTAATAAGCTAAGAGAAATCACTGTAAAGGACAAAGACCAGAAGTAGTCCCGTTAAAGCCAAGACAAAGATACCCGCTGTTTTGTTCTAGAAGTATAGGTAGTGCGGTTAGAGGAGGAAGGGAATAGTGTACCGAACAGTAAGTACCGAAAGGAAGAGGCAAAACGAATCACTTGGAGGTGATAGGGTTGCATATCTAGACGACTCAAGAAAATCAGTTAAAACTATCAGAAATAATAATAGGAAACTCATATAAATATTTCAGTAAAGTGGCTGACTCTAAAACTGTAGAAATCGATTGCTTTCTGAGGCTTATTAAACAGCGAACAATTGGAAAGTGTCCTGGCAGCAGGTGTCCCGTGTATAATATAAAGAGCTTTTATAAATCTGTAATGAAAATACGAGCCCTCTCCTGGAAAACCGGGAAAAATGTCTGAGCTAGAAAATAGAAAACAAGAACTATAGCCAGAAACTTCAGAAAAGTTGTTCAATCTCAGCAATAGTTAAAGAAATACAAATGTAAACAGAAGAGAGAATTTTTTCACCTTACAAGTTGGTAAAGAATAGGCGAGGGAGCATGGCCGGTGGAAGTGTAAATTGGAAGAAAATTCCAGAAATTCCATTCCGGAAGTCCTCAATATGTATCCAAAAAAAAAAAAAAAAATCTCTTTAATGCATGTACCTTTTGACTGGCATTTACAGTCTTCCTAAGGAAATAATCACACTGTGTACAAAGATAGGTATAAGGGTGTTTATCTCATCTCGTTTATAATAAGGAAATGTTAGAAACAACCAAGCCATTATTAAGGGTTGGTTATTAAGGACTGGACTAAATAAAATCTCCTACGGCCAGATAGGAGGACACTGGATGCCTATTAAAAGGGGCGTTGCTCTATACTCTCTGACCTAGAAAGAGGTCTGATATCTTAAGTGAAAAATACAGGTTACAAAAGCGAAGTATACCGTGCTCTATGTTTTGTTTTTTGATAAATACATAGCTACAGTAACTACTAGCCGCATGTGGCTCTTTAAATTTGAATGAATTAAAATGCAACAAAATTAAGTTCAGGCCCTCGGTTTGCACGGGCCTCGTTTTGAGCTCTCAGTGGCCGTTTGTGGCTAGTGGCCACCAGGTTGGATAGCGCCTAGAAGGACATCTCCATCGTCAGCCAGAAAGCAGCAGAGAATTCTAGGAGACCACAAACCAAATAATAACAGTAACTGTTTGGGGATGGGGAGGTGGCAGATAATCTTTATGCTAATGGAGATTTGTATTTCTTTCCATAATCAGAAAAAAAATACTGTTTCAAGAAATAATAAAGCATTTGTAAGGATTCCCAGCACTTTTTTTCCTTTCTGCAGTGAGCTGAATGCCAAGTCAAAGGAGTTGCACCTGCAGATTTCAGGGGATGCGCAATCCTCGGAAGGTGGGTGTCGAGCAGGCAGAGGGAGGCCCTGCTCTCTGGGAGGGGTCACCCAGCCGCCCTGACCACGGCCTGGAGAAGCTGGGAGGCAGGGTGGGCCTGCCCTGAAACCACTCCGGTCTTCCTGAGGCAATGTTTGCTTGAAAGTCCATTTCAGTTATTAGCAGGGTCATACATTTTGGAAAAGAATATACTCAACTGGTTTTTGCCTTTTTTTAAAAACAAATACCTAAACTCTTTTATTTGGCAATTCTTGGCTTCGAGAAGCCCTTCTCAACCTCTTAGCCTTAATAAACGCATTCTGTTGTGTTCCTAATTGTGGCAAAATGCATATACCATAGAAGTTCCCATCTTAACCATTTTTGGGTGTAAAATTCACTGGCGTTAAGTACATTCACACTGGTGTGGGACCATCAGCACCATCCACCTCCCGGACTTTTTCCTCTTGCCAGGCTGAGACCCTGTCTTCCCCATTCCCTCCTTCCCCAGCCCCCGGCACCCCCCCATTCTGCTTTCTGTCTCTGTGGATTCCAGCTGGCTTTTCCTTATAAAATAAGCCACAGTAGCTTATACTGGACACATTGCTGTAGAGACAAGAAAGCAACAATTAAAGGTAAAATCACAAACGGGAACACGGACCTGTATGTATGCATGTGTGTAATTCGGGAGTTTCAGTATGTATTAGGTTTTTAAAAATGCCCATAAACATACCAAAATTAGGAGCGGGGGACCCTTACGTGGCTTATCCTGCTAAGAGACCAAGCCATTTGGTTGTCTCCCAGAGTTACAAAGACACAGGAAAAAGCAATTCAAGCTTCTGTTTATTAGCAAGAATTCTTTTTCTTTTTTTTTAAAGATTTTAAATTTTTAAAGATTCATTTATTTTAGAGAGAGAGAAAGGGGCAGAGGGAGAGAGAATCCTCAAGCAGACTCCATGCAGAGCACGGAGCCCGACCCTAGGACCCTGAGATCATGACCTGAGCCGAAATCAAGAGTTGGCCGCTTAACCGACGGAGCCATCCAGGCACCCCCATTAGCAAGAATTCTGAGCTAATTTCCTTGATTCTCTTGTCTTGGGATAAGATCAGTGAGGTGCTTCTGAGATAAGAACGAACATTCCAGGAGAGGGCGTGTGGTTTGAACCCAGGATGGGCCGATGTTTGCCCTGAGAGAAGCCGACTCCTAGTCTACTCCTGAGGCACCACTCCTTTGGCTCCTTTGGAGGTTCATTCCTGTACAACCCGATGGGATCTATGAAATTTCACATTAAAAACAAAAAACAAAAACAGAACAAAGGACAATTGTAGGACCTTTACCGAGACTCCCATAGTTTTGACATTTTGCCCAATTTGCTTTATTATCTGTGCTCACACTTGGTGGTTGCTCTTGATTTTGCTTGCTGTCTCTGCATGCACACACATGCGTGTGCACACATGCTGGAGGGTAAATGTGTGAACATTTGAGGGTATCAGGCCGGGTACTCCTCCTTTCTTAGGTGCATATTTCCTAAGAATAAGGATATTCTCTTCTGTGTCCACACCCCAGCTGTCCGCTTCCTAAATCTGCACCGGTTTCTCTAACCTGCCGCCTGCCTTCCGCTTCATCGGTTGGCCCCGTCTCCTTTAGAGCAGTTACCTTCCACTCTTCCACAGGATTAGATTCTGCCTTGAGTCTCCTGTCTCTTTCGCCTCCTTTGGTCTGGAGCATGTCCACCACCTCTGTCTCTGGTGTTCTAGAACATTCTGAAATGTCCTGAACCTGGAGGATGTTGGAGCGGACAGGACGTGTTGGGAGTTCTGGTTGCAGTGGCGGCTCCCGCTGACCCCTGCTCCCATGGAACCCTGTGGAAACATATCTTTACTTGTCTCCTGTCTTTTTAGCTCTGTTGGCGATGACAACCATTCCTTTGGATTTATTCAAGAAGCAGCCTTCTGGGCCCCAGAGCTTTACGTTGACCAGCGGGTCCTCCTTTGGCAGCTCGGTGCTGGGTTCAGTCACTGCAGAGGTACGACGTCATTCTCTACCATGGCCAAGCTCCAGCTTGACCCACTTGAGATTAGGAGCATCTTTACCTTGTGAGTCCTTCTTACGCTTGCTTCAAGCAGGAAACAGGACGCTCACCTAAGAGGAGCTCCCATTTTGTACTGCGCATTTCTAGACGCGAATGGGACACTTCCTGCCCATGACTGTGTTGAGTGGTCTGCCGCATGGGGAACTTTCCATGATGCCGTGTCACGTGGGCCTAACCCAGAAAGGGCCCTTCGATTTCGTTTGGGTCTCCAAGCCTTTGTGCCCGTCGTCAGGCGCTGAGTGGCTGGGTCTGAGCAGGGGACTTCTCACCTGTCGGTTCTGGGGGAAACCCAGATTAATGCCAGGAAGGCAGTAGTACTAAGCGACGTTGATTGACAAAGTCAGGTTATGGCAGAGGAGGGCAGCATGCACGCGCAGGGGTCGATATTGGTGCTGCATGAAATGCGTAACTGGCTTTCTCTGCAGTTTTCTTACCTAGAACCCGGTGAAGTGAAATCCCGGCAGACCCCTCCACCTGCTCCTGCTGCAAAGGTAGAAAAAGACCGCACGGTGATGCCATGTGGGACTGTGGTCACTACTGTCACTGCTGTGAAAACCAAGCCTCGCTTCGACACGGGGAGGGCGTCCCCGCTGAGCTGTGGTGAGTGCAGGCCGTGCAGACTCGCGGCCCACAGTCCGTGAGCATCTTGTCTCTGTGTGGTTCACACGGTCTCATGGCCCAGAAAGAAGGGTAACTGGCCAGACTTGGGCTTAGCTTTTTGAGTTTTAGCCAATTACCTCTCTATTTTCTCAAATAACTACATGACATGCCGAGGCAAGGTTCAACCCTGTAGTGCATGCTGAAGCTAAAAACCTAGATATTAGAGGAAACATCTAGTTCAATGAACTACCCAATTACACTCACGGGGGGACAACCCGCTATCTTGAAACATTAGATGTAAGTGATCAGTGTAAGTTCTTAGGTTGAGAATCCGTTTTTTAGAAGGCCTGGTGTGCAGTCACTTGAGATCTAGCTGAATTCTGTACCTGTCCCCCCAGCCTCTGCCCCAGAGACAACTTCTGTTTAAGTGTAGGAGTTACTATTTTATTTGTATTTATACTGTGTTTCTGCTTCCACGTAGATAACGTATTCTCTTCCCAGAACAGGTTGCCTGGCACCACTGTTCTTCAATACAAAACAAAGTGAAATTCTGGCTTAATTAAAATGTTTCTGAAATTTTATTTAAACCCAGGTTCCCAGCATTCTTTTGGGTCCTCGCCTCCCCTACCTCCCTCCCCCCCAAAATGAGAGACTGTTAAAAAAATCCAAATGGACGGGGTTGCGTGAGAGGTGTGATTTCACCTTCCGGGAACTGTAGGTTCAGATGGCTTTTGGGGCCATTGTGATCTGGATTTTCTCCTGGCAGAGTCTCCCCTGAAGACACCCGTCAAGGTGAAGGTGATCGAGAAGGACATCTCTGTCCAAGCCATCTCCTGCCACGGGGCTCCTGTCAGTAAGACCTTCTCTTCTTCGGACACAGGTAACGGGGCGCGTGCTCACGGCGTCCTCCCTCTCGCCTCCTTCCAGGCTCTCCTCCTGTCTTTCTCATCTGTCCACAGGTCAGCATTTCCTTTTCGGAGTTTGGGAGGCACTTTTTTGAGTAATAAGAGCAGAATGAGGAGGAGACTGGGGGAATGGAAGACAGGCAGAGACCAGGGGTGGCGTTAAGTTTTAGCAGACGCTTTCACAAAATAAACATGAAAACCCAGTTTATGCCTCACGTTATAAAACTTTTGAGCATTATTCTCCTCGCGCTCAGTACACCAGTGCTCTGAATATCTTCACATAAACAGGACTTGGGGGTGTAGTCCTAAAGGCAGCTTTGTTGTCGTCTCCCGCTGTCCCAGAAAAGCTGCTCGTTAGGAGTGGTCGCCCCGCAGAACTCTGCTCGCAAATTCCCCATTTTTATGGTCACGTTTAGGGAATAAATGTCTTTGGAGAGAGGAGTTACGGCCTCCCTAAGTCAAAGCACAATCTAAACTTGGGGATTACGTTTGCTCCCTTTGCTCGGGTGTGACCTGCTGTCAGACAAAGGGCAGGCGGGCTCCTTCTCTCCGGCTCACCTCTCCCCATCCTCCCAGTCCTGTTTCTGGTCTTGCCAAGGTCAAGGATGGGACAAGGAGGAGAGGACGGGGGGCAGGAAGCTCTCATCTGACGGGTGCTGTCTTCGGACGGCTTCGGGTCATCCCTCAGCCTGGCAAAGCTGACAGTGCCTCTCCCTGCGGGAGTGGTCACGGCTCTCTGGAAACCGCAGCGCCCCCCAGCTGCAGCCTCCTAGACGCAGCCGTGGCCCTCCTGTGGCTGGCCGCTCCCGATGCCCCTTTTCCTGCCCCTCGCCGAGCGCCCCGCTGCCTCGTACTGCAGGGACTCCTTCCCCTGCGCAGGATCCCTTTTTAACAGCCTGACGTTCCCACTGTAGGTTTCTCTCCCGCTCCATGGGCAGCAGAGCCAGCCGCCAGGCGCCCCCGGGGCCATCGTAGCCTTCTTGGGCACCCCTGGCACCTGGACAGGGCTTTGAAGGACAGCTCAGAGCCGCCAGGTGCTCCCCTGGGGAGTCCTCGCCAGCCCCCTCCTCGTGAGCCTCTCGTTTCTCACTGTGGGTGGCAGCCAGGCAGCGTGTGGCCGCGTCGGCCCCTCGCCAGTCCCCCGGGAAACGGAGCATCTGTCGTCTGCAGTCGGAAACCGAGGCGGGGGACGCTCCTGTTAACGCCTGCCCTTCTGATCGCGTTGTTGTTCGACTCTGCCTGAGCAGGGGCTGCCTCAGTGAAGGGATAGGCACCAGCTCGGCGTCAGCGACCTCGGCCGGGCCATCCCCCTGGCTGCCTGACATCCCCCCACGTCTCAGATGGGCATAAAAAAGGCCCCTGCGTCATAGGGTGTGGGATGGCGACACAAAACAGTGTGCTCTCCCAGCCCTCGGCAAGCACCTGCTAGGTGGTAAGCATCCCACAGATGTTGGCCACATGTGGGGTGCTGACCACAGGGAGGAGCTGCCTGTACGAACTCACTGTGTTGAACCACTCTCGGGAAGGAAAGGGCATTGCCTTCCAAAGTTCAAAGTTGTCTAAGGGGTCAGAGGTTTTTTGTTTGTTGGTCTTCCTGCTTTCATTGTTTTTCATCAACTCTATGGAGGTATGACTAGCATATGAGAAAGTGCAGAAATCTGAGTAAGTACACAGCAGTGAGTGTGTGGAACCATCCAGAAGCAGCGATAGACCAAGAGGGTCTGTGAGCCAAACCTGGCCCTGTTTCTGTTCATGAATTCCATCGGAGCCCGGCCTTGTCCGATCACTTCCGTTCAGGCTCAGGCTGCCTGCACGGGACTGAGGCCTCCGTGAGAGCTCGTGGCCCAGGCCGGCCCACGAAGCTTAACCCGTTTACTGTCTGGCCCTTTCCGGAAGCGATTTGCCGGCCCCTGCCTGGGGATCATCTCCATCAGCCCTGGAGGTCCCCAGGACGGTGTGTGATGTGCTCAGTGCCGCCTTCCCTCCCGCAGAGCTGCTGGTGCTGAACGGCTCGGATCCCGTGGCAGAAGTCGCCATCCGCCAGCTCAGCGAGTCCTCAAAGCTGAAGGTCAAGTCTCCGCGGAAGAAGAGCACCATCATCATATCAGGGATCTCCAAGGTGCGGCCATGCGCCCCGGGGGCCGTGTCTGTCGGTGGCCTGGCTTCCTCCTGGTGGAAGGTAGCCCGAGCTCCTGATGACGTCCAGAAAGCTCCTTGCAAAGGGCAGGTCCCGTTCCTCACCCAGCATGAGGCTCACTCACGGCCCTGTGTTTATGCAGCTCACCCCGTTCGTGAGGAAGCTTGCAGGCTTCTGGCCCAGGATGCTCTGGTTGTTGAGGGGTTGGTGACCCATGTGAAGAAAAGCTATTGAGAGAGAAAGACTGGCCTGACTAAGGCTCCCGTTGGGGACAGAGCCGCTACCCTCTCGCGGGTCGACATGTCTCCAAACCATTTAAGTTGTTTGCAGGCAAAGGCTAGCAGAGAGGGCAGCCCCTCGGGGCCAGGGGCCGCGCGAGGGTCCCGTATGCGTGTGGAACATCCCAGAATGAACAAGGGGAACGCCAGCAAGGAAGGGGCTTTAGTTGTGAGGGATGAGGAGCAAGAAGACGTGGTGAACACGGAGGGTGGGCTGGCACCCGGAGGTGGGCCAGGGGAATGCGGCAGTCTGTAGCTCATGCCGACGTGGGCCAGGGGAGGTGCGGAGGTCAGTCATCAGTGTTGCCATTATACTCAGGGCCTCGGCGGCCAGTGCCAAGTACCAGCTGGCAGGGCTGGCACGTGGTGCCCCGGGCCTCCCTGAGTGCACTTCCGGAGGCGGCCAGCAGGGGGCGGCGGCACGAGGAGTCTGGGACCACGCCCTCTGCTTTCTCGAAGGCTGTATCTTGGAATCACTAGGAACCCACGTAAACTTTACATTTAATGTGTCCAACCCACTGCGGTTACTATGTTTCACGGAGGCTCAGATGGCCCCATCCTGAGTGAGTGGGCACTCGGCCAGCCAAGTGCAGTTGTCAGGAAGCAGGCTCCCCTGTGAACAGCGGGGTGGCCCCGGGGAGCCCCCGGCCCCTTGCAGTCACCTTCCCACCCTCCAGCCCACGGGCCCCAAGGGTTAGGGCAGCTAACCTGTGCTTGTCTTAGACACAGAGAGGTGGCACCCAGAATTCTTAGGCTACAGTGTGTATGCCGATTACTTTCTGCTCGCAGGAAGGAAACTCCTGTAGGAAGAAGTGTTAAAAGACACACTGAATCCATAGCCCACTTCCCGTGCCTCCCCGTGCGCTGTCTGCCACTTAGAAGGAAGTCTCTCCCTTCCGCGGGCCCCCCCCCCGCCGGGGAAGGGTGTCTGCTTCCTCCACGCCCCTCCACCTGTGAACGCGGGCGCCCCTTGCAGCCAGGGCCCCGACCCTCTGCTGCGAGGGGCAACCTGCATGGCTGCATTTCAGTCCCTGTGAAACACGGCCGCGTCTCCTGGGAAAGACGTGTGTCCTTGCCCCCCTCCCTCAAGCTGACTTCCTTCTTTTGTCCCCGGACAGACCTCACTATCTCAGGACAATGCCGCTGCCCTAATGCTGGACTACTCGGCCTCCGTGGACGGCGCCCGCCAGGAGGACACCCCGTCCCTCGTGGGGGCGGCTGCCGCTTCTGTCCCCCCGGAGGACGAGGCCTCAGCCCCTGCCCCGCCGGCCCCGGAGCCCCAGGAGAGCGAGCTAGACTCCTGGGACTTGGACAAGGAGTCACAGGCCTCAGCGTGGGGCAGCCAGGCCCCGCTGGACCCCGATGGGGACGAGCTGTCGGAGAGCTCCCTGAGTGTCTCGGAGCTGGGCGCCGCCAAGAAGCATAAAGGTACCCACGCCCCCCGCCCGCCCACCCACCCGCTAGCTTTTCTCTCCTGCCCGTTTCCAAGCTAACCTTCAGTTCCATCGCCGGCTTCCCTTCCCTTCTCCTCTACAAATCCACCCCGCCCTCGGCACCCCGCCCCAGCAAGCACACCCTCGCGGCAGGGGTGGGCCCGCTTGGAGCCAGTGGGCAGGCGGCATATTCAGAATCCTTCCATCTCTCTGCACTGAGGGGGGCAGCTTGTGCTCATGCCTAGAGGCGCCCCTTCTTTTGTCCGCCCCACCCCCTGAAATAGAACCCTCCAGAACGTTTAGAGGGGGTCACCAGGCAACTCCTCACGAAGCCAGCAGAGGCCGGGCTTCCTGCAGGATTGGCAGCTCTGCTCATTGTGCCTCAGACTCTTCCCTCCAAGTAAAAGCTGGCCAGACCTCAGGGCTGGGTCCTGCTAGCGTCCAAGGGCAGATAAGTCCCCCAGAAAAGGAGCCGATTAACTTAACGTGTGTGTAGTGATGAGCAGTGACGTTGTTAGAATAATCCGTTGTTTTCCATCAGCACTAAATCGATGCTTTGCATTTGCAGATTTTGTCAGCGTGTGCGGTTAATTTAGTGCTCTGGCCTGATGGTAACCTAAAGAGCCTTTCTGAGGGACTGTAGTCTAGGGGCTTGAGGTCCCCTTTAGATGGGCGGTCAAGCCTCCCGAGCCTCCGCTCCTCCTCCGTGTGTGAGGATGCGCCCCCCTCCCAGGCAGGAATAAGGAGATCCCGGTGCAGAGACAGGACAGGAGACAGAATGCAGGCGCCTGAGCGCAGCTGGGAGTCGTGGGTGCGGCTCAGCACTAAGTCCTCGCCACCCCCCCCGGCCCCCCGAGAATGCAGACTCCAGGAAATCGCAGTCGCTCCTGAGGCCGGGAACCTCGGTAAGCTGTTCTGCTGCTGCCTTGCTCCACTCCTCTGTTCTTGCCGCCGCGGACCAGTGGTTCTCAAACTGGGTGACTGTGTCCCCCTGCCCCCCAGGGGACCCAGGCAGCATCCTGAGACAGTCTCAGCGGCCACAGCTGGGGACTGGGGTGCTGTTGGCAGCAGGCAGTAGAGGCCAGGGCGCAGCATCAAGCCCGCAGCGTGCAGGACAGCCTAGCCCCCTCTGGCCTGGTCCAGGGGGTCAGCACCGCCTGGGGGAGCTCCCCTGGCCCCGAAGAAGGCAGTGTGCGCTGTGCAGAGCAGAAGAGGAGGTGCAGGGTGGGGCGCCCCTTCCTCCCCCTTCCTTCTCCCGATGGCCAACAGTCCGCTGCCTCTTCTCATGAACCCCAACCCCCCAGCCTCGCTGACCCCGAGTCCATCCAGAGACCACCGTCCCCTCATCCCTTGCTTCCTCCTTCCCTTTGCCTTTCCTTCTGGAGAGTTCTTTCCCATGGGTTTCCATCCTGGCTGTGCCACGGCCATGCTTCTCCTTTCCCGGCACTGGCCAGGGGGATGGCACCCCTCCAGAAGGGCACTCTTGGGGACCTAGGTGCTGACAGGTGTGCTTGGCGCTTCCCTGGAGGCTGGGCGCGGGGACCTCGCTGGACGTGGCGCCCGTGGAGTCAGATTTGTAAAGGGATGTACTTGGCAGTGCTTCCAAACTTGCTTCTATTCCTGTGTTTTCGTAGAGATTTGGACACCGTGTCTCTAGATGTTGTCAGAACCTTAGACGATTACGTGTTACAGGTGCCAAAGCGTTTTTGTGTGCTGGGGATTTTCAGCTTTCTACCCGGGGATCAAGGGAGCGGCTGTATGGAACGTTCTCTCCATTTTAAACTGAAGCTCATTTTCTGGCTGGAGAACCACCTGTGTGTCCAGTCACAGCAGGGGTTCACATACGTCCCCAAGACCGCAGGCGTATTTAGAACTCTCTTGCAATTTCGCTGATTGGAAATGCACATTATCGTGACGCTGCAGCCAATACAGGGAAGCTAGTCCCCCCAATTCGGGTTGATTTTTAGCTTAACCAAGCGTCCATGTTGTTTCATAGCAACGGGAATGTCCGTAACGTGACTGTGTGTTTAGAGATGGTTAAGACGGTAGACTCCGTGTTCTGTGGACTTTACCATAAGAACAAAAGTATTGATGGAGACTTTGAAAAATACTAAAAAGTAAAAAAAAAAAAACAAAACAAAAACCCCAAGCCACCCCAAACCTTGCCAGATGTCCTGCCCAGTAACGTCACGTGCGCGCGGGCGCGATGCTTCGGGACTCACTGTCTGTCATTCTTGTTTTGCTCCTGCATACTTTTCTTTTGACCTCTGACCTCTTCTCGTCATCTCGTGCTCATTCCCTTTAACTTAAGAGGATCGCTATGCCAACCAGAATTAATTGCCTACACAGTAAGTTATTTCTGTCTTATATTTTTTTTTCCCAAAAATTTGAGTACAGCCCTGCCATGAGAAAAGCTTATTTTGCGACAGCAGGAAGCTGATCTCCCCTTCCCTTTCTTTCCTGTTCCTTTCCAGCGTGAACTGCCCAGGACGCTAGTGTCCCTGTTTTCCTCCGTAGATGTGCGCTGGTGGGGTTAATGTAGCACGTCTACCCCTCGGGGGGGGGGCGGGGTGCTGTCCCCCAGCTCAGGGGACAGCCAGCCTCGCACCCCATCAAGTGCATACACACCGCTTCCCTGAGCCGGGCCCTGGTTCTAACAAGCAGTCACTTTTCTAAACGGACTATCTATGGTTTGGCTTGAATTCGAGAGCTGTTCTCTGGGCAGCAAACTACGACGTGCAAAGTGACTTCTGGTCACTGTTTTCCTATCAGATTTTGAGATGGATTCTTCAGTGACCTATTCATGTCTGTTAGGGTCTGTGGAGATAAACAAGAGTAAATTGGGAAATATTTGCTATATTAAAGCTCTAATTTAGAATAATTATTTTTGAAGTTCTTCCTATTTGTTTATTCTTCGGCTCTTTTGTGGTGGTTGTTTTTTTTTAACCTTGCTAGAACCAGGGAAAGATTTTTTTTTTCCCCTCCTCTCTGTCCCCCATTTAAGATGTTGGCTATTTGCTTCAAATTTCACATACCTTCTCTCCAGATTTTACCTGAAGGAATCCTTAAGGTTGCGGGCGAGGTCTGGGTCTTGCTCCTGCCTCTTGGAGTGGCTGAGGTGGTCTGGACTAAAGGAGCTCAGCTTTATAAAACCCAGACTGGGGCGCCTAGGTGGCTCAGTCGTTAAGCGTCTGCCTTCGGCTCAGGTCATGGTCCCAGGTCCTGGGCTCAAGCCCCACATCAGGCTCTCTGCTCAGGGGGGAGCCTGCTTCTCCCTCTGCCCCTCCCCCCTGCTCGTGTGCTCTCTCTCTCAGATAAATAAATAAAATCTTTAAAAAAACAAAAAACCCCAGACCACTGGGGCTCCTGCTCAGGCACTGTGAACTTCCCCAGCAGCAAAGGTGACAGATTCTGGGGGCCCAGAGGCGAGGGTGACATACCAAACTGTTAGTTACTGTCTTAGCCAGAGTTCTCTAGAGAAACAGAACTGCGAGGTGCTACATTTCAGGGAAGTGGCTCACACCATCATGGGGTGTGACGGTCTGAAATCTGCAGGGCAGGCCAGCCGTCTGGAGACAGAATGTTGTCTTCTCCTGGAGGGAGCCCTTGGCGTTGGCCCTTCAGGCACGGAGCGGATGGGATGAAGGCCACGCCCACCATCCAGGGTAGCGCGCTCTAGTCCAGGATAGCCGAATGCACTGTAGACCCCGCATCTACCCAGTGCCTTCAGGGGACAGATGAGCGCTGGCCGGGCTGACACTGAAGACAGAGCGCCACGGCTCCGAGGAGCTGAGGAAGCTCCATACCGTGACCCTTCCTGCTGACGGAGGAGTGCGCTGGCCTTTCTGTCCTGGACCCTCACACCTCTGCGGAGTGGCGCAGTCAGTGTCCCCTCTGTGGCCTTGTGCTTCCGGCACTATTTACCCCAAAGGTCACTGTGATTCGTGCCCCAGTTTAAACAGACCTTAATGTTTTTATTTAGAAAGGAGAACGGAATGACCTCCGTTTACCCTAGTCATTCTTCACGTTTGAGGAGTTAAGCTGTGCATCGGGGCGGGATTTGTGTCCTGTCTTATACATGCTACCAGCGTGCCTCTCAAGACTGATATTGTTCCGGAAACCTGTCCACGTCCGTGTTGGAGTGCAGGGCCATGCTCTGGGATGCTCTGAGAACCAAGACCCATCCCACTCCCAGGAGGCCTTCCCCGGTGACCGCCCATGCACGTGTCCTTTACCAGACCTGCTGGCCACTTCTCAGCGCTGGGACCCATCCCCTGCCAGCTCAGACAGCATCCCTTAGGTGCAGAGGGGAGCCGGGCATGAGCACACAGGCTTTCTGCCCTGGGGCACTCGTTAGTGGGGCGGAG